ACGACTTTTATTTGACGTGTTCCTTCTGGACATAGGCGATTATGCCCCTCCACAACTTCCTATCCTTTGTAGCTCTTAGTAATGTTTGTCTTTTCCCTTCCACTCAGTTATCCATACACAAGTAGAAGCTAGTTAGGTTTCCTTTTTTTTTTTATCCCTCTTGCCTTCAATCCTAATTATGCCCCAGAAATTTCAAATAGGTGTGTTTTTTTTCTGAATCTAAAGTCTAAACTTTAATTTTTTTTGTTTTCTATTTTCCTTAAAACTTTCCGCTTGCTAATATACTCCATCCATAACGAGTTTGATCCTAATAGGCTGCCTCATACCTGTGTCCCCACAATAACAGACGCTTCTTAAATAAAAACTCTTTAAAATGGTTAGTAAGCAGGTTTTCTATTAGTAAAAAAAAAAAAAAAAACGAGTCCCAAACTAAGCGGTTTTGTTATAGCAAATAAAATAACTTTCTGAATTTCGGTACAATATCTGACGATGCCACTTTATAAGTGAGCTTTTTAATTTTTCTTAATAAAATTTCCGTTTAGAAACTCGTGAGGTTTTAGTTTTTAGGTACAAGGAAAAAAAGAAAAAAGGTTTCTTTAAGTTAGTAAACAAACAAACAAGCAAGTAAAATACAAACTACTTTCAGATATTCGAGATATTTCTATTTTTAAGTTTTGGAATTCAATGGACTTTTTTTTTTAAAAAGTGAATAATGCTTATGAACGTCAACGAAGTTCTTGTTGAAATAAAATAATAGGCCACAAGAAGTTCTTAAACAGTAAACTCTTGGTAGGTGCGTTTTTATGCCATTTGGAATTTGCTTTGAAGGGAACTTTATTCGGGAAAATACTTTACGCGTTTAGAAAATTTAATTTTTAAGCGGTAGTAAAATGTTGAACTGAGAAAGAGATAAGCAGGCCAAACGTTCTCCAAAAAAAAATCCATTATATAAATTTTTAAAGAATGAAAAAAATTGGAAAGTAATTCGGAAAAACGAACAAACTTGTTACCTTTTCAGTTGGAAGCAAAGAAGCCGATTATTAAAGAAAAAAAAAATGTGTATGCAGGGAGGAGGTAAAAATAACAGTAACACTTGAACTTGACTAACTGAAATGATTGTGTTTTTAATTCTCGCTTTATTGGAAACCATGAAGTGTTTTCTTTTTTTCTCGCAACACGCAGTAACTGTATTGTAGGGTAACATAAACAACATTGACGGGATCTATTTAATTTTTTAGTGAGAAAAAGGATTTGTAAAGAAAAACAATTTTTTTCGTAACAATTGAATAGTTCAAACGAAAAACATCATTGTTTCTTTTAGTTAAACATTAACAATTCAAACAGGACATCACTTTTTCTTTTTAAAAATAAAAGACAAGTATTTTTTTTATCGCTGAAATCAATCAGGTCGTTAGTAAAATACTTTTTTTTTTTTTTTATAGTTTTCTTTGTCATTCAATCCGTTTGCAACTAAACATAACGTGCTCAGGTAATCGCAAACATGCATAAATAATACTTCAACTTACCAGTTCGTGTCAGGAAAAGAAACGAGTAAAATGGAACAGGAAAGGAAAAAAATTGTATTTATTTCTTATGACTTTGATCACATGACTTTTTTTGGCATCATGTGTCTGGAAACGGTGTAACAGCAAATTAGTGTGATCTTTACAAGTTCCTCCTGTTGCCAAGCAAAATGAAAGCTATATTATTGATAAATTAGTTACAAATCCAAAGGTTGAGTGTGAAGAGATGTGAAATGTAAATTACTACTAATCCGTTATTGGAGAACAATAATTTTTCCGTAAGATTAAAGTATTATTTGAGAGAAGTTTAACGTTTTTTATTAAATTTATTTACTTTAATTATTTTTAAATAATTTTATTTTTTATTTTTTTACTATCGCATCTTTTAGGTTTTTTAATTCCACAAACTAAAACATTTATTTTAATTTAAAGCAATTTCACAGTCACTATTCTTTTTTGGTTAATAAGGATCTGGTTTAAAAAAAAAAAAAAAAAATTGGCACCGTACAGTTAAAAATTTTAACTGTACGGTTCTAATTTTTTTTTTAACTTAAAATACCAATTAAAAAAAATAAATAATAAAGGGGTTTTGTTTGTTCCCTATGTCAGTTTGAATGAATGAAGAAGGCGAATAAGTTTTTTGTGATAAATTGTAATGCATGGAAGGGTCGGGATTCTGGTTAGCTAGGTAGTTACGACCAGCCTCTTGTCCACAATTGTTCATTTTTTAATAAAAGCAAGTCAAGAAAAAATATTATCCTTTTGAACGGTTTAAACCTTACATTTACAAACCGTTAAACCGTTTGTAAATGTAAGGTTTTACCTTACATTTATAAAATCCTTTTCGGTGTAAGGACTTTTCAACCAGTAACGAGAAAAAGGATAAAATAACTTGATCTTTCAAAGAGTAAATATCTTACCACTATTTATTGACTTCAGCTTTTTTTTTTTTTTTTTAAAAAAAAAAAAAAAAAAAAAAAAAAAAGGCCACAATTAATCGAACTCACTACCTATCGTTTTGCGATGCTTGAAGTTCGCACAGTGACGGATTTAAAAATTCCATTTCAACAATTGTAAAAAAAAAAAAAAAAAAAATATAAAGCTAAAGTTCATAAGTGTGCGTGAGAATTTGAAACAATGTTTCATTGTATTTAAAAAAAAAAAATTAAAGTCCAATCGCGCGTACTATTAAAACTTCTAATAGTACGCGCGATTGGACTTAAATTAAAACTAAATTGAACACAATTTTTAGTTTACTTGTCTCACGTTACGAAAACAATAGTTTCGTTTTTCTTTTTTGTTTGAAACCTTTGTATTGTTCTCTAAAGAATGGAATTCAGAAACAAAATGTTTTATTGAGTTCGATTGTAATTTTCTTCGAGTTAGTTGTCACATCTTTAAAATTAAAATCGTTTTCTTATCGTCAATGTCTCAATTCATGAATAATACACATTACTTAGATTTACTATGAGATTGAATAAGGGAGCACATTTTAAACAACCAACACTGTAAAAAAAAAAACTTTTTTTTTTTACGGCAACAGAAAATGGAGAAAAAAATGTTTTTTTTCACATTTTGGGCAAACAAAACAATTCAGGCTCATTACTGTTTGACACATTATTTTTGTTATTTATTATTAACTATTCGTAGCTCATTTTTAGCACAAAGCCATGAGCTTAAAAGGCACTCAGTAAAGATAGAATTCACGACTCAACACTCAGTACAGCAGTAATAATTTAAAAACCGGCTCGCTAATTACGACGTCTTTCCTTCGTTCTGTTGGGTGACATTCATAAAGTAATTTAGTTACAGAACGAAGTTTTAAGTTCACCGTTTAACACCGTTAATAACCGGGAATTTGGAATAACAAGGAAGAAGTGTTTTTTACGTTTACCAAAAAAGTAAACATTAAGTACTTAAAATTAAAATATCAACCAGAAGGATAAAGCCAAGAACCAAAATAATATTATTACTTTAACTTTTCTGAACTTTAATAGAAAATTAATTTCAGTTTAATTCTTTTTATTATTACAGTTTATAAATTTTAAAGAGAGTATATTTCATTTTTATTTTAAAGTAACCCTTTAAAATTTAAGTTCTGATGACATGTAAAATGTGCTTTTAGTTTTGTCCATTTTAAGTCTTTTTACTCGCTCTTTTTTGGTAAAAAATCATACGAAAAAAATTGTGGTAGCAACAAATTTATGGGTACACAACAAATGACACGAGCAGGGTTTTACTTTTTAAAAGATACAAAAAAATTATGGAAAGACACACAAAAAGGAATTACACAAACAAATTTAGTGCTTTGTGTGCCCAATGATGGCCAATATCATGTATTGTAAATTATCAATGAAAATAAAACATGCCTTTAGCAATTATTGCTGCATAAGGCCCTCGGAAAGGAAAACTGCATGAGGCGAAGAAAAATGAAATATACTTCTGAATAGTTTTCAAAGAAATATTTGGTACACTTTTTTGCATGACAAAAGTTCGCTGTTACCAGTAGAAAAAGAGACCACGAAGATTTAGTTACCACACCAGCCGAAGACATTTCTTTGAGATGGGAGGCACCGGGTCGTTTCCATTGTTGTCTAAAAATTCTAATGCGTCGTTTTCCTTCTGGACCTGGATTCCTTTTTAGCAGCTGTTTGTCAACTCCGAAAATCACACCCAACTTAAATAACCTTCAGGTAGGCTCCAAATACGCTGCTCGGAATTTGGAGGAAACCCATTTTTGGTTTTGGACGAAAAACAAACGCAGCTGGTATACCACTAACTACCATTTTTGAAAATTAAAAAAAACAAGAGCCCATCACACTAGCGTCTGCTTGTATCTCTGAAAGCTTCATGCATGCTCTTCATGTAGCTTAAAAATTTCTTATACTCTTGCTTGCTTGACAATAACTAATTTTTTAAGCTGAAGTTCAGTCAAGAAACTTTGGTTACGCTTCTTATACGTACTTAATGAGAAAATGGTGTGAAACTGGGAGCAATGGTGCGGATGGAGCATTTAGTATTTGTAGTCAGCTTTACCTAACTTTGGCAGAAGGCTATAAGTGTGGGACCCCCAGTAAGGATCAAATTCACTAGTCAATAATTGTCAACCAGACTAGCTTGCTAACCATTACCCCTTTCTGAGGTGCCTGTGTTTGTATTTTTAAGTTTCTTTTTTCATTTTTTACTCAACAAATTTATATAAGTCCTTTTAATACTAATACTTCTTGAATCAAACTATATATTGATGCCTAGCAGAATAAAAAAAAAAAAAATCAAGTGATTCCATTTTGACTGTTATTTTGTGTTTTATTGTTAATTAAATCTGAAAATTAAATTTTAATTTTAGATTCCCAATGTCGGTTGAACCTTTCCTGAAAAATATCTACTTTTTTGTCAAAATATTAAACCAAGCCTGTTCAAAAGATGTTGCAGATTGGGACTTAAATTCTTGGCAGAATGCTTTTCATTGGGCCACTTATTGTGAACAGGTGAGCCTTTTTTATCTATAGTTTTATCACAGTGACATAGATTGATGCAGTTGAAAGTGCAATTTAGATTCTGTTTTTGGCCATTAATGTCACGATAAATACAAAGCTGTTTTGTTATATTCATTGTTAGTAATGATTGAGGTGATAATCAGCTTAAGAGACAGGATTTTTGAACTAAGATCAAATTCCTTTTGAAATTGCTTATATTGGTAAAAGCATAAATCCAACTCTTTTGTTCATGCTCTCCTTAGTCATCCTGACTAAAGTCTTGTCACTGACATGCCACAATAGAAGATGGTTGGATCTGCTGCTCATTCTCTTGGCAGCAGAAATGGCAGTCTTGTCTCATTGAGATTAGTTAAGTGTCCATAACAGATGTTAGGCATTGAATTAATAAGAATCAATGTATTTTTTTTTTATCTGAGATGCCTAGAGTAATTCCAAACAAAGTTTCTTCTGTAATTAGGAGTTTCAGAAGAACAGCCGATAAGACTTTGCTTAACCATGAAAATCTTGATTAACATTCAGATGGGCCAATCAGTGCAGTTGTGTTTTCAGATATTTTCAATTATTTTAAAATATTTGCATATTTTAATATTCATAATTAATATGGGTTCAAAATATCTAAACACAAAAACATTACAAGTGACACTAGAACATGAAAATATGTACTGTATTTAGAAACCGGTTTTCATTAAATTTTTATTTCAAGTTAATTTTTAGATAAATATGTACTTAGATTTACAGATGTTTGCATTAAAAGTAGGGATTGAAACCATTGAATTTTAATTCTGTTTTGACTTCATTGTATTAATTTTCATTGTTAAATTAGAATTAGCAAAGCCACACAAATGAACTACAGTTTGGTATTGTAGATTTTCATCAGTTTATTGGTGTTCATTCATTTAAACTGTCCATTATAATCCAGAGAAAAACCAAAGCACAAATTAAGCAAAATAATTTTAAGTGTATAGAACTGAGTACTGACATTTTTTATTTAACTTTTGGCTATTTGTCTAAAAATAATTTTGAGCTAGATGGAAAGAAGACAAATTCACCTTCTTCAGAAATTCAGGAGATAATAAGTTCTCTTTTTCTTTTGTCCAGCTGTATCAGCAGGTGAGCCACAGATCAATGAAAACCGATTTTGAGCAGTGTATTCAAAGACTGAACAGTCTAAACCTTCCTTTGGTGTGTGGGCAACTCAACCTTAAGTTTTTAAAAAAAGCAGGCAGCCATCTTACACAGGTACAAATCAAGTAAAACCTTTCTAAAAGCTTTTTTTCTTTTTCAAAACAACTTAGCATTACTTGTTTCTATTTTCCTAAACTAAAAAGATATGACACATTTTATAAATTAATAGATGGATCAACTTCTTTTTCTTTTAATTATCATTTTCATAATTGCATATTGATTTTGCAGTCAGTTTGTTTCTACTGAAACTTTATTATCATTTAAAAATACTGTTAAAAATAAATAGTTATTTAAACAATACATACAACTTGTGATCCTCTGTTGCCACTCTCTTAAAGTGTGCATTTTTTTCTTTCTTTTGCATTTATAAAGTTATTGATTCAGAATCCTTATCTTCCTGAGATGCTGTTTGAAGAAACAATTAGTATTTGTATGAAAGATAGAAAGTCTGTGATTACGGTAAGAGAGCTTTAAATTTAAAATTAAACTTAGTAGTGTGTTGGAAAAACCTTCTGAAATATTTGTAACATTATTATATTGTACAAAACATTTTTGAAACAATCTTAGGTTTCTCAGCAGAAAACAAACCAAAATTTCAGTTAAATATATAGTTTAAATATTTTTTTAGGTCAGTTTTTCATAATTTAAAGCACTATTTATTATTATTATTATTATTATCAATTGTTTATTTACAAGAATAGTGTTTAATGCTTTTGTTATCAGTTCTTGAGAAAAAAGAGAATGCATAAATCCAGTTTCATATGTTTGGGTTCTATGAAAGATTTCTAAAAATAGCTTTTTCAAAAAGTAAAAATTGCTGAGGGAGTATACAGTTATAATGGTGTCAAGAGAAAAACCATTCTTTTGAGACACTGTTTTTTTTTTTTTTTTTGTGGATATGAATTTTAAACTTTAGTCTTTGTTGATAATTTTACTTGTCAATTTGCAGCAATGTGTTGATCAAAATTGGCAAACTGCTTCCATACAAGTGGTGGACAGACTTAAAAGATGTTTGGTTGACTGTACAAAGAATAGAACTGATGGCTGTATAAATGCTTCAAGAGAAATTCTTCCTGAAATAGAAGCAAAATTTCTATGGGATCGACTCCTTTTATCCCTTCGTGCATCTCAAGACTGTGAAAGGTTTGTTTTCAGAATTTTTTTCTTAGTGATTCACATTATTTTTTTTTCTGTAAGTTTTTTATTTCGTTACTAGCATAGAAGCTGCTCTTTGGGAGGACTTTAGGCTAGCTCCTGTGGAGGGCTATGTACGTAAAAGTTATAAGAATTTAGAAATAATGAAATTATTTTATCTTTATTCGACACCTTAATTCAGCATAATCTTTCTTCGTATATGCAACCGATCTCCATAGTTTGTTTACATTTTATTTGCATGCAATTTTTATTTTCTTTTAAAAATCAACATTCTTTATGATCCCTTCACATAAAGTCACTCTTAAAATACATTAGTGAACCCGAACTGTGTAATATTTGAGAATATGTCACAGTACACATGCTAGAAAAAGAAAAAACATAATGAACAATTTACTTAAGTTTTAATTAATGTCTAATTAGACAATATCAATTGCATTTGTGATGGAAATCAATATTAAAGTTAAACCTTTAATAATTGTTTTTTAACCTTTTCATTCTGTTCGATATTTAAATTTAACTTTAAATGAGTTATTTAATTTTTACAGTAGTTACTACCTGTTACTCCTGGTCATGTATGATTCGCTGAAATCAAAAATGGACACATGTACACTGTACTTTTAGATTTCAACTATATGATTATTTTGAAATAACCTGCTTATACATAATAAAGTTTTCTGAATTGTTCAGATAAGACACTTAATTTTTACTAGTTCTTTCATCTTATTTTTGTTGCTTGTTTATTGCAACATGCATGTCATTTTACAATCTACAATGTAAAATGACTGAAGTGTTTATTTTTAATCCATGCTGCTAACTTGTAAAATGTAAAAAAAAGAACTTCACCATTGTGATAAAAAAAAAAAGCAGCAAAATTAAGTTGAAAGAAAAACTTGTCAAAATTTAGTAAATAATCTTGATTATATATATTATGTGGATTGTGGAATGTTAAAACTATGCTGAGTATTTTATTAACTGGCAATAGTTAACATTTTTTCTGGTAAAATAATTTTTTCTTTTGAGTTTGAAAGGAATACAAGTTCATTATATGTGAAGATGAGTGAATTTGAAATTTAAAGGAAGTTGTTTTTACAAACAACTAACTGATATCATCTTGGTCAAACAGTAATAAAGGAAACTAATTTTGAGAATTGATTATGAGCTTGTATTCATTTTTCTCAGAAAAAAAAACATAACCTTGAGATTGCTAAAGAAAGCTTTTTGTCGTAAAAAAGTATTTGGATCTCTTAAGAGATAAGTTGTTTTCTTTTTTTTTTTTTTTCTCAAGATTTGGAAATGTTTATCTATCTGATTTTTAGCTTGGGACAGATTTCTTTGTTTCAAACATTGGATTAATAAACATTGATAGTTAATTTAAAATTTTCCAACTGCAGAATTTTTTTTTTTTTAAATAGTAAAATACAGGATTTTTTTCTGGAATTGATCATGAGTGATGTTCAACTGATGTAAGTTGTGTGATCCAATCTTAGTAGTGGCAGTAAGAGGAAATAACTCCAGTGAAATTACAGGGGCACTCTGAAAATGTGGATATGTGTAGGAAAGGCCATGGAGGTGGACCAATTTTGAAATATAAAAAAATATTATGAAAAATAATTAATCTTTCCTGTTCCAAACCATAAACCAGAGATTCCTAATAAATAGAGAAGAAAAAAGTCAACAGAAAAACAGAGAGACCATAATTAGGCACCTAGAGATCCTCCAACTACGTCTAGACAGTAGATGGTGAGATTTTATGAAAGATAGGAAGGACATTTTTCTTTGAAGAATTTTGCAACCAAATCCAATGATCAGAACGCAAGTGTTTGGTGGATATCTTGACAACAAAAAAAACAAAACACAGAGACCATGAAATACTAGTTTGTTTCAATTCTGCTTTCTTTCACTAGAAGTTCTTGTTTTTTTTTTATATGGGAGAGAACTTAGAAAATCAACCGAGAGATAAGGAGAAAGTGTTTATAAGTCTATGTAAAATAAAGAATGTAGTATTTCATAACATTAAAAGAGACATGTTTTCAGTATTTTGCTGTCAGCATTACAAAAATTCACCCTGGTAGACGCTTCAGCCAACACACTTAAGATTTTTCATATTTTAAAATTATTCATGGGTGGAGAGGTTTATTTATCTCCCTTTGAACTATAGTCTCTTCGGATTGTCAGCCGTTGTAATTGTGTTGTGCGTTGTGTGTGTGTGTGTGTGTATAAATCATTTCACCCCAAGCAAGGCAATAAAGCCACTGAGATGCAAGAAGTTGCTGGGCGTGAGAGAATATGAGCAAAAACAAACAAAACTTTCCTGTAGAGGTAATGAAACATTAACAGTTTACTTATAGGTGGTATGCTGTTATAATTTCTATGAATCTAAGGGATTATTTTATTTTTTTTTTGTTTGTCTCATTAAAAGAAAAGATGGTTTACTCTGAAAAATTATTTCTTTGCTTAGTCTAATGATAGTTTATTCTGTCATATAAACAATAATTAAAAGTTCTTTTTGCTGGATTTGATGACAAGAAACCTTTTTCTAGCTGTGATGTTTAACAACATGCTAAAAAGCATAAGAACCAGAAATCATATATTCATCTTTTGAATTTTATTATTGTATAGACAGTATACATGAAAATACAATTATGCAACCATTTTCATGTAGCCCCTTATATCACAAATATGTGGTGCTAAAAAATCTTTTCATCACCCCCTTATAAGACTTGAGCTTTTTTAAATTCTGAGAAAGCCAATACGATTTTCTTTTAGCTATTAAATATATAAATTAAATATTCTCTCTTGTTAAGCTTGAGGCATGACAGGTCATTTGGCAATGTTTTGGGTCACTGGGTTTGTTTTATTCTATTTTCTATCATGAACACTATGAAATTTCAAAGTTATAAAAATAACTTAAATACTGCATAAAAATAAAAATGCAGTTAGTAATGATTCCTTATATCAATTATAAAAATAAAATCCCATGACCAATCAGCACAAAGCAAGCAAACTTTTTCAACCAATAAAAATAAGGAATCCAGACTACAAAAATAGTAATTTCTGGAATCTCTAAGAAGCTGTGAATAAAGAATTCTGAACAATGTTAGTCAGTCAGTTAGTATATAGTCACATTATTTGAGAACCATTACCATTAACGTATAGTTGGTTTATTAAGCAACATGTTTTCTGTTCATGCCTTCTTTATTAACATTTCTATAAATAAAATGGTATGTAGTGTGAAAGGCCAATGTACTTGTACTTTTGAATAGCAATTGACATCAATCAACTAAATTGCAAAAAAAAAAAAAAAAAGCATCATAGCAATATTTCCAATAAATAAATCTTAATTTTGTGATTCTCTTATTTTTAATGACTCCTTTTCTCTAATGAGCAATTTTTGTTATTTGAAAGAAATTTATATTTTACTGATTGATACAATGTAGTCTCTTCTAAAAAATATGAACATTTGTTTGAGGTCAGATATTAGCTACAACAGGTAAAGTAACTGCTGGTTGATAAGATGGTTATTGTTGGTGGGGTTCAAAAATACCTAAAAAGTTGGCTTGTAACAGTTTTCTTTTTTTCTTGCTAATAATTGTGGTATTTTCTAATTTAACTAGGTTGCCCGTTGCAGTGAAAAAAATTGTGATTAGCCTAAACAAAACAGAAACTGGTTGGGTAAGTCTAGTGCTTCTTCTTTGTTTAGTGTGCAGTATTTGCAAAAGTGACAAAAATACTTTTGTTAATGATAGAAGTAATTTGTTTACTTTCCATTTTATTGTATATTTGATGAATCAGAAAATTATATTCACAATTGTTGGAAAGAAATAGTATTTGGCTTTGTAAAATACACTGTCAAGGTATGAAAATTGTTCAGTATTTTTCGGATCTAGTCCATTGATGGTGATTTTAACTCCAGGTGGTGGTTGATGTCTTGGTTGTGGTTGGAGCCAGACCTTGGTTTTTATCATGTTGATGGTGAGTCTGTAGATCATGTACTCTCTGGAGAAGTTGTCTGCTAAGTACTGGAGGTCTTTGAGTTCATGGGCCAGGGTGCAGTTGTCATTGGTGTATTGGAGTTCTATGACTTGTGCGTTTGTTGTTTGAGTCCTGGTGAGCTATGTTGAAAAGGTTGTCGTTAGTACAGTATCAAAGGTCGATTCCTGGGTTGTTATCTGGAGTCTTCTGAAGCATTGCTGCTAATTAGATGGAGAAGAAGGTAGGAGCAAGCATGCATCCTTGTTTCAAGTCCCCTATAATGGGGAATGGGTTTGAAAGGTTGGCCTGATGTTAGACAACCCATCTTTCCCTTGTATAGAGCTCAGATGAGTGCTGTGAATTTCTTGGAACATTCATAGTGTCTGAGGACCTACCACATGGCTGGTCTTAGAACTCTGTCAAATGCTTTCGCAAGATTGTAGAAAACCATTCCCCGAGGTTTTTGCTGCTCTCTGCACTTTTCCTGGATTTGTCTCATGGAGAAAATCATATCAATGGTTCCTCTGTTGGCTCTGTTGACAAAGTCAGGAGGCAATTGAGAAGGATCCTGGTAAGGATTGTCCTTGTGCTGGACAGGAGAGTGATTATATGGTAGTTTCCACAAACGATTTTATCTCCTTTCTTTTAAGAAATTAAATTAATTAAAGGGATAATAAATTCATTTTATAAATTTTGTGTGTGCATGCAGATGTGTAACACTAAAAGTAATAAATTATAAGTTAATAAAATGTGGTTCTAGCTGTGCTATGTCTTTGTGACTTTGTTCTTCCTGTCTTTCTAGGTTCCAGCCTATCTCATTGAAAACAATTTATATAAAAATATTTGTTGTGATGTATTTTGTGATTCTTCTTGGAATAAAAACTGAAAAAAAATTCATGTTTACCTAGAGTAACCAAATTTAATGAACACATGTAGGAGCATAAACATATACGTGTCTGTTATGTTTAACTATTAAAAATATACTCTTGGGGAAAACTTGTGTTTATGAATGAACTAGTGAACATGTGTACGAACATTAACATGCATGTGTCAGTGATAAAGTTGAAAAAAAAAAAAAACAAATACAAAAAGAAAAAAAACGGACATTTATCAAAAGCAACCCTTGACAAGTGGACCTACACCACAAAACTGTATAGTTGGGAAAATTAAAAACAAATATGGACAAATTTACAGTAAGTAAATTTTTCAATATAAATTTTTCAAAATATATATTTACTTGTTATAGGATATCCTTTTGCATCTCTTACAACAAAATCAACACAATTGTGCCAGTTTGCTGGACAAGCTTCCTTCCCAAATCCATTCAGTTATTGAAGATCACATGTGCAAATCTATTATACAGTCTCAAGTTCCTAGGTTGGTAAACATTTTCTTATAAATAATTTTGATTCACTAGCAGCATAGCAAGTGTAACATCAAATTTTCCTAATATAACTTACTTTTATCAAAAGCAAAAGTTACAAATCACTTATTGATGAAATAGTTAAGTACAAATAAATCATAAATTAATTATCATGAATTAAAATCCTCCTATCTTCCTTCAGACTTTGATGGATCATTTATATTTCTTATCAAAGCATCTTCCTTTGTTTACGGTTTAACATCCCAAGTGCTGATTTGGAATGAATCTGAGGCTTATAGGGAGCTATAAATTGTGTTTTTCATTTTTAATGTTTCTGTTTGTATTTGGAAAATTGAAATCTGATTAAAAAATGTGAATTATTTTCCTTTTTGTGTTTAATAGTGCATTTTTTTATTTTCACTTTTACAGTTTAATATGGAGAAGCAACCGAGCCATATTAAATGAAATCCTGGGACAATCATTTCTTCTGTTCTCTGCATGTTTAACGCAACTTATTCAATGGGGAAATAAATTTGTGCCTGTCTACCAGTACAAACACAACTTTTTCTATGTCTGGATGTGAGTATGAACTAATTTGTCTTCACAAAATTCAATTTGAACACTCAAGAAAAAACAATTTCAAGTTGAATCGATATGAGATAATTATGTTGCTTCACAAACTTTCCTTGAGACATAACACGGACATTTTTTTGAATTTATTTTCTGTCTTTTGGTGACTTCATAGTTGAGTTAATACATTGATTTTGTCTGGTATGACATTTGCTTGCTTTTATGTCTATGTAATTTGTGCCACAAATATTCTCTGAAATATTGAAATAGTGATGCTAATAAATTTATCTTTGTCCTAAATACTTAAGTTGAGGTATTGTTACTAATTAATGATTGTCTGAAAGAATCAGAATATAGTAAGTTTTTGCAGAGTCTCGGCTCATGTAAATAAACTAATGTGAACGTTAGGCAAAAAATTTTCTCTTTATGTAGTTGTATAGTAAACAAATAAAAAGTTAAAAACTTATCTTCCCAACTAATTTTTACAGATGTAATCTACTCATCAGAGGTGGTGGGGTGTAGATAGTTTAATTGAACTTATTAAAAGATATATTCTCCCTTGTATTATATATAAATAAATGTAGATGTTCAGGATACCTATTTAAGATCGATTTCACTTGTCATGGTTCAGATTCTTGTCTGAATCATTGTCAAAATTTAAGTCAGTCTTTGATAAGTATCCCAAACTGTTAATATTTTGATACAATAATTATTGTGGACTTTGTCAAATATTCTGTTCACCTTGACATAAGTTAAATTATATAACTGTATGTATATCAATAGATCTTTTTTATATATATATATATATATATATATATATATATATATATATATACACACACACACACAAAAGGTGTCTCCATTGGCTGGCTACTACCTAGATTCAGGTGTACATTATTACACAATTCCCAGACAGCTAACATTGATTGCTGTACAGTGCTGTTCGATAAAAGTGACTCACCTGATTTTTTTTTACTAAATGTTCTCTTCTCCGATGAAACGAAAGTTGAGCTAAATTCAAAGGATAAGCGATCTAAAATCCAAAGAAGAAGCTTTGAAAGCTCTTTGAATTTAGCAGTAAGTACTGTCAAGCATCCATTCAGTATAATGTTCTGGGGGATGCTTTTCTTTTCATGGAAATAGTTTCTTAAAACCTATTGAAAAGACCCTCAGGAGCGAGCAGTACAAAAGAATTTTAGAGTCTTGTCTGCTCCCTTCTGCTGAAAGGGTGCAAATCGACCCCACCAGGTGAGTGTTATGACATGGCCTCCCCAATCTCCTGACCTCAATTCCATAGAAAACCTATGGAGCATTATAAAGTACAGGCTCTTGAGAAAGCAGTTGAGCAACATGCTCCATAAGTTTTCTATGTGGTTGAGGTCAGGAGATTGAGACACCCATGTCATAACACTCACTTGCTTCTCATCAAAGTATTCCTTCACTGCACTGTAGTTCTGGCTTCAAATACCCACCAGAGCATATTTTGGGTTTCGTCCTGGTGAAAAGTTGAAACATGCACAGCAGCAAGCAATGTCAGCTAATTGAGGATTATGTACTAATGTACACATGAAACTTTTAGTGGCCAACCAATGGAGACACATTTTCCTAACTAATATTGGCTCTACTATAAAGTGTTGGGCAAACCTAGGTAAATGTGCCTGCAATAAGACAGTGTCAAAAGGATGTTTTTTTTTCCATAGCACCACTTTTAAACTACCTTTGCTTTTTGGCAATGTTTATTGTTTTAAAAATGATGATTAGAATTGTAATAAAATCTAAAACATATGAAAGTGAATTTATACATTACTTTGTTCTTGAGAATTGACAACATAAATAATGAACACTTTTTCGTTTTAGTGAATTGTTTCCTCTTTTAATTTTTTATCATTATGGTGAGAAACTAATGCATTTAATATGTTGTCAAATATCCCTTTTGTGTTCATATAATCTTTTATTTAAATTCCGTGAGGCAGTTATTACAGGTAATAGAGGTTAAATTTGTCCTTCAAGTTTTAGCTTATTGTTTTAGATGTAGTTGTGACAGATTTTTTGTTGAGTTTAGATAAATTCTTTTCAATTGTAGTTGTGATAGCAGGTAGAACAATATATTTTTTTATTCATTGGGCTTGTCAGGAAGGGCCACTTTTCTGTTTTTGAATACTTTATGATCCTTTTTGTTTTGCATTGAATATGAAATAGGGTATTGGAGAAGCTTGAAAGTATTTTCAATATATTTCTCCTCTTCATGTAAATATTGAAGACTGCAAATGCTGAATGATCTCAAGTAGAATTTGGATGATTATTCTGGATTTTATTTTGTTATGATGGGAATAAAATTTTATTAGATCATTTTTATTAGTTGATGTTTGGTGGACACTAAGTTTTAAGCTACTTTTAACTCTGTTCGGTAAAGTATTGTTTTTTTTTTTCCATTTTGTATGTAAATTCTATTGTATGGTTGACTTTGTTTAGATTATCTACAAGATCAGGTAAATCATGGGGATGTATTAATAGAGCATCATCAGTATATCGGAAATATGTTGATTGTTTAGGTAAAATGTTTTAGAAAAGACTAGATTCAAGAAGTTCTAAGAAATTACATGCTATCACCCCACTAAGGTGTGATCACATTAGTAATGCAAATTTTTCACCCCACTAAGGTGTGATCACATTGCTAATGCTAATTTTTCTTTATAAAAATTATTAAATGTTAAATAGCATTGATTGGTGATGAGACAGCATATTTTTATTATTTTAGCTATTGGTAATCTTTGTTAGATTTTTCAATTGGGACATTGGTGTAAAGGGATTTCATATTTAGACTGGCCATGAGTTTTTCAGTCATATTTGTTTCTCTTAGTTTTTCAACTAGGTTGCCCGAATTTTTTTGTGATGGTCTGATTGTTTCACTATTCTTGGCAGATCTTCTATTATCCCAATATGTGATATTTAATTGCAAAACTGATGGAAACAAAAAGAATCTAAATGAAATTTGCAAGATTATATATAACCCAAAAAACACATAAAAGATATTTTTAAATTGAAAATTCCAAGCATCTTTTGTTCTTACATATGTGTAGTCACATTAAAACTTAGTTTGAAGGACGAAACTCCTCACACAAAAACTTTTTCCACTTTGTCATATAACATGTCGGATGAAAAATAAATTAATTCCTTAGAAATTGCTTTAAGTTTTAGATATGAAATTAAGCAGTCATGGGCTTTTGAGAAAAATAATCTGGGTGAAGAGGATGTGCTTTCTTTAAAAAGGGACCATAGGGCTTTACTTACTGTGACATGCTTTGTGGTAAAGCACAGCAGATCAAATGGTGGTTTCCCATACAAAGGAGGATACAGGTTCAATCATTGGTGAAGAACATTTTCTTTACTAAGATTTCTTGAATGTACAAGCTGATAGGTGAAATACACACTGCTTAATAAATAAAAATCATTAATTCTTATATATATATATATATATACACACACACACACACACACAGAAGTAAGATTCTATAAGTTTTAGAGTTTTTCTTTACTATGTACAAAATAACATTTTTAAGTACAAAATCATTGTAGTTGCCTATCTGTTGAAGACTTAAAAAAAAAATATACTCCTGCTTCATTGTTCTTTACTTTCATTTATTATCTAAACATTTTTTTGACAAAATACACATTGTTAAATTTTTACCCTTGAGCGTTATTGTGATTCAATGAATTATTAATGGATGTTAATTCAAAGAAGACATAATAGTTCTCAGTGGAGAAAGTAGAAATGGCAAGCAGAGCTCAAATTCCACCCAGTCTTTTGTCTCCCCCATCTCTCAGCTATGGGTAGACTAAGCTCTTGAGCCTTGATTACCAAAGCAGTTGAAGAGAAAGGAAAATTCTAAATTTCAGACCATCTTTCCCCACAAATTCAGATATTAAAGAAATCTGTGGAGAACCATGATCACCTATTCCCTGAAGGGAGGTGGGATTATAAAAATAAGTAAATATTAATAACAAAATAATTCAGGAGTCTTTTGTATTATGAATATACTTTTTTTTTTTTTTTTTTGTGTAGCTATCAACCAGACAAGAAGTTTGATGAGAAATCATTTGAAATTCTCACCTCCTACATGAGAATTCTCGTTGACAGCGGACCTCAACAAAAGAAGGCTGTACTTGCAAATTTAAGAAGTTTGGAAACAGCTACACTTTGTTGCATCTGGCAAGATGTTTTAGCCGCAATATAAAAAAGATATTTTATAATTGTATAAAGAAAAGCTTGAACTTTTAAAAAGGAGCAGAAAGAATTTCAAGAGGTTGCCAATTAGATTTGAATACATTTTACAAGCAAGTTTTTCATCTCAGACTCTTTGAAATCAACCTAAACTGATTGGTCAATTGTCTATACAAATATTAACTCCAAATGAGAAAATATGACCTGTGTTGTTGCAAATATCTTTGAATTGATGCAGGTACAAAATAACTAAAAAAAAAATCTATACCTATGGATATGAAGTAGGTGCTGATTACATATGTAATTTTATTTATTCAGGGTGCAGCAGAAATACCACCCAGTTACCAGATGAAGACATTATTGCCACTAATGTGGGAGGTATTTCTGTTGAACTCTTTACAATATAATTACTTTTACTTCGACTGTTCCTAGCAAACTTTTTAAGTAGACTGGTCCATTTGTTAAAGAAAAAAAAAAAGGAAAAATACTTTTGGAAATAATTTTTGTAGATTAGTATTCAGTAGACCTTCCTCAAGGCACAATATTTGTCAGAACTGAAAATTATTATTTTTTTTTTTTTTTAAAATTTACATGTCAACTTGTTTATGTCATTGATATCTTGGTATGAAAATAATTTTCATATTTTTCTTTTTTTTTTTAAAGACCAAATGCATATATACATTTTAAAGCAGCAATTGTTTTTCCGGTGAAACTTTCAAATATGATATATATTTGTTATATATATATATATATGTGAGAGAGAATGATTAAAATGTTGTCACTTAATTGATATATATTTTTCATCTGACAATTGCTTGTTTGAAATATGTATATATCCATTTTTTCCTTTAATTCAAAATGTATGTTCTGTTCTTTAATGACAAGAAACCTTTTCGTTAAAAATCTATTTTCCCAGACAAACTATGTATTGCTTGTTTAAAATATTTCTTTAAAAATAAAACCTACAAATGTATACATTGTATCAGTTTGTTTGTTTGTTTTTTTATTCAAGAGGAATCTTTTGGTGTAAAAATAACCAAACAAAACAACCCAAATTTCTGTTTTCATATGCAGATATCAATGATGTCTGCCATTTCAATCTTGATATTTGTAAATAAAAAGTAAGTAGGATAACTCTTAATAATAAAAAAAAATATCAGGGATTGGTTTTTTACTATTGATATTATGAACAGGATCTCCATTCTACAATTATAAAAAAAAATCAATATTTTTTGACTTTGACAAATGTAGCACCTTGATGGAGGTCTAATCTACAAAAAATAATTCCCATATATAATTTTCCCATTTTTTTTTTTTTTTCTCAAAATGAATGAACCAGTGTACTTAAGTAGTGTCTAATGAGGTATAAAGCACAAGACAAATACATTTTTATTTTACTTGTAATGGAAATAAAAAATTTAACCCTAGGCACAGAACATATACACATTCTTTATATGAGTCAACTTGTAAATCTTTGCAAAAAAAAAAAAAAAAAAAAATATTCACACTACTGATGGATAAACAGTTGGTTGTCATCTATCCATCCATGAATACAAATAGCATATTAATTTGCTTATTGACAAAGGCATACATGCAAAAGTTTATGTAGTTATCAGTTTCTTAAAGCCTATTAAGATGAATATACATGGTGCGATGAATAAATTGTCGCCTAAATTATTAAAAAGTGAAAACAACGCAAACATCTCATTTTAACATATACTTACCAAAATAACGCAAACATATCTTGAAATACTAAAGAGTAAATTTTTTTCAATAAAATTGCCATCGACTTCAACCATGGCCTCCAGACAACTTTGGCATCTCCTGTAGATGGTCTCCTTGTTTTAGTTGGTGAATGCTGCTGTAATCCTTGCCTACAGTTCATCTTTGGTATTACAAGGAGTTTTGTGGGTCTCTTGCTCAACTGCACTCCATACATAATAAGGGGGCTGCAATCTGGGGAGTTAGGTGGCCAGGTGTAAAGGGTGATGGGGTTGCAGAAATTGTCTGGCAGCCATGACTGGGTTCTCCTGCTTGTGTAGCATGGTGCAGAGTCCTGTTGTCAGACGCAGGGTCTTCCATCAGTCACCCTCATTCTTATCGGAACAGTCAGAGTGAAATGTTCATATTGGGCTTCCAGCATGAATGTCAAGCAGTACAGCATTCTTTTTCCAAATTTCTGGTGGATTGAATTGCGTTTTTCTCACAGATGGTGCACAATAAACCCTGATATAGTGCAGCTGACAAAAACAAAACATGCATGTGTGAAATTAAAAATGTAAAATGGCGACAATTTACTCATCGCATCCGGTGTATTGTTACATTATTACTTAACATGGCTACATATTTCCATTTGGATCAGAGCCAATAACCACCAAGTTCCAGAATGTCAGTGTTTAGAGGTGGACAAATAATGTTCATTGATGAACAATTAGTTAACTAAATCAGAAAGTTAAGAGAGAAGAATATATATATATATTTTTTAAATGTATTAAACTAGGTACCTCTACTAGGTTGCATAAAAAAAACAACATAGCATGATGAAAAAAAAGGCCCCAAACTCAATAAAAACTAAGTTTTGTCATGAAAATGTTTATTATTAAAACGAAAGTATTATTATTTTTTAAATTTTTTTTACTCCTTCCTAGCATGTCTGAAAATTTTTTTTTTTCAGTAGTGGTGAACTGTGGAAAAAAAGGTTTGTTTTATTTTGTGCTTTTTCAGAGGAAAAACACAATGATTTGGAAGTTGGATTTTAATAAAACTTTCAGGACATATTCAAAATGAATATTTAATTTTTTAAGAAAATCTTGGCAAATTTTTTTTTTTTTTTTTTTTTTTATGTTACCACCCACTTACATAATTTATTTTTTTATTAGTTAAAAACAGGACTCTTGTAAAAGTAAATCATTTTTTTTTTTTTGTAAAACAGTTACCCGTTTCAAAAATCTGCTCTGATTTGTAAAATAAAAATGCAATAAAACTATGACATTATTGAATTAGAAAGCTTTTAATTGCTTTTGTAAATAAGTTATATGAAGGTCACTATTGTTTGAAGAAATAAGTTTTTTCAATGAATAAAGAATTTTTTCATTTTTTTTTTTTTTTTTAAATACTTCAAAAATAGTTTAAAATTCTTCATTGCTTTCAATATCGTTAAGGGAAAAGTAAATTTACAAATCAAAATTTGAAAAGCTCATAACTTGTTTGTGCCCAAATATTTTTAGTGAAAAAACGTTCTTAATTTCAACCTATGAGAATCTTTATGACAATCCTTAAAAAGGTCACGTGATTTAAGTGTCGTCTGACGCACTGAAATTATTTCACTTTTAATTCAGTTGTTTCATCATTAACGTCTTTGCGAATCATCCCTTCAAAGTATAGAAAAAAAAAAAAAAAAAAAAAATTGAGCAATTATTTGACATTCCAATCTATATAATTTCTATTTGAAATACACCAGAATATTTTATTTACTGGAAATAATAAATTTAATCATTTTACTTTCAATTAAAGTTAGAATGAAATCTTCAAGAATGCTTTTTCATTTTTAAAATTTAATTTTAAAACTTAGGTATTGAAGCTTCAGTGGAGGTACTTATATTAAACCTTTTTGCAATGTTTTTATTAAATTTTATTTTGACATCCTGTGTTAGGAGAAAAATAGTTCTAAACTGATCTGCCACCTAAAAGTACACACAATCCCTCATTTGCTGGAACATGATAAAGTTTGTAAATTATTCATTGATTAGCAACAACTGATAATATACTGCAACAAATTACATTACAGATAGAAGAATCATTCTAAGCAAAGTCTATATATTTTCTTATTAAATTGAGAACAAACTTTTTCACTTGACAGAAGCATTTTGTGCTTTCTCCGACATTAAAATTATTAGGAGAGAGAGTAAAAGTATATATCTCAAAACTAATTATGATGATTGCTAATATCCCCCTCTCCCAAGAATAAAAATTTCCATACATATTAATGTAGCATTTTCAGATAACTATTAAAACACACAAATTATTTTGATATATTTGCAGGGGTGTGCATTGAGATAGTAGCATCTGCAACAACACTTGGAGTGGGTGGTATTGACCTTTAGACAAAGAAGGTTTACATTAGAGTTCTCCGAAGGTTTAAATGAATTTTTAAAACTGAAAAATCTTCCTTGAGGCTTTTATTTTAGTTTTAATTTCAAGCTAATAGATTAAATTTAATATTTCCAATAAGCAAAATACTTGGCTGTATTTCAAAAACTAATTTAAATTGACTGGAAATTTTTTTTTTTATAGTCAACTTGCATTGCAATGTAATTCTCTTTATTAAAAAAAAAAAAAAAAAAATCTTCCAAAAATATACTTTTCTGAAATTTTGAGGAAAATCTTGGTAAAATTTTTTTTTTTCACATCTGTTATCCCCCCATTTTACTTAATTTTATGAAATTTCAAAAAATTCAAAGTACATACAGATGTTCATGACATTATCAAAAATAAGAGTGATAAGCAAATTTAAAGCCAAAATATCTAAAATTTAATAATACAGATTATGAAGAATATTTCCCTAAATTTTTAAGATTAGAGTGCTTAATATGTGTGTGTGTGTGTGAATAAATAAAAAAAAAAAAAAAAAAAAAAGACTCACATTATATATTAATTTTTTTATGGATAAAGCCCCAGTAGAACATTAAACAACCATCAGTCAACATCCAAACAGCTACCAATGTATTAAAGAGAATTTCTGATATATTTTAAACTAAATATGTTTCAAATCAGATTACATTCCTCAAAGTGTCAGAAAAGTATACTTTTGGAAGATTCAACAACAAAAAAAAATTTCCAGTCATTAGTTTTTCAAATACAGCTTATTGAAAATAGATTAAATTCCATCTATTAGCTTGAAATTAAAACTAAAATAAAAGCCTCAAGATTTTTCATTTTTTTAAAAATTCATTTTAAACCTTAGGTATTGCATTTTTTGTAGAGGAACCTACCCAAGTGTCATATGTAGCAAAA